CCTCAAACTATGTTATGGAACATCATGTAGTGTTCCAACGAACAAAATTATTTCCACCAGTTTTTCCTGACAATATGGGTGCTATGCAACTTCAACTGTTACGGCCTTGTGCTCGTAATTACGATAGCAGAATATAGAGCGAAAATGAACGGCACAGCGAAAACAATATGCTCGCCAAGGTTAGCTTCCTATGCTGTAACAGATCAACGTCACCGGACATTTGCCCAGATTGTCGTCGAGAACTGGAAATTAGACGAATGACCTCCATCGGATTTAGTATAAAAGGCTAATCGAAGCAGTAAGGGTTATCCCACATTAGCTAATCATGCGGAGTATCGTGTTAGCGACACTGTTCGCTACAGCGTTCTGGTACGTGATCACCCCTCAAGATTCCTTCGTTTTACTAATTCCTTTATATAACGTTTTACTAGCATTAAAAATAGTAAACCTACTTTTTCCACATGACTTGTGATTTCAGCCGGTACGCCACGCCTGGAGGAGGCGGAGGAGGCGGAGGCGGCGGTAGCGGCGGCGGCGGAGGCGGACTCAAAGGCTCTAGTGGAGGAGGACAATGCATACCTGGAAGTAGGCTACATTCCTATTCCCCTATTAACCAGTTTTATTGGCATATATAAGTCGGATTTCATCTCGAAATTCCGCATCGGACCATCACATTGATTTCATGCTTGAATTCCGATTGTTTGTTTAAATTTGTTTTAATTTCAGGCCCCAACTGCGGTGGTGGTACAACCAATTGCATTCCCGGAAGTAAGCATTATTTCCATATCTAATTTAACTAAATTTGAACGTATGACTGCTTTTAACTTGCAAAAAGGCTCATCATATCTAAGTTGATTCTCTCCATTACAGGCCCCAACTGTGGAGGGGGCGGCGGCGGCGGCGGTGGCCAATGTATACCTGGAAGTAAGCAACAACTTTGTTGATTATAATTAACATGTTGACCGTATTACTCTGGATTTTATCACGGCAGGAATATTTCCACAATACGGAATTTATAGGTCCGAACTGTGGAGGCGGTACAAACGACTGCTTCCCCGGAAGTGAGCAGCATTTCTTTTCCCATGTGTTCACTTAGTACTTCACTTTACTCTGAATAACTTTTGATTTCTCATAATTTTACACAGCAAATTTTATAGGTCCCAACTGCCCAGGCGGAGGACGCCTAGGCAGTGGTGGCGGCAAAGGCTCGAGCGGCGGAGGAGGCGGAGGCGGCGGTGGAGGTGGAGGCGGCGGCGGTGATGGAGGTTAGAGACAAAGAAGCATTTGTCACATATCTTTCTCTAAGTACCCTTTAAAGAAACCAACAATATTTCAGGTTACGTATTACCACCAGCTGAGTACTCACCACCAGCACAACCTCGACCTGCACCTGTGGCAGCGCCACCACCGGCAGCACCACCTGCACCACCTCCACCTGCACCCGTGGTAGCACCACGACCTGCTGCGCCACCGGCAGCACCACCTGCAGCACCACCTGCACCACCTCCACCTGCACCGGTGGTAGCACCACGACCAGCAGCACCGCCTGCACCACCTCCACCTGCACCCATAGCACAACCACTACCTGCAGCTGCTCCGGTCTCACCGCCGCAAGCTACTTCACCAGTAGAGCCATATAGACCTCCAGCACCACCACCAACAGGATACCAACAGCCACCCCCAATTTCCCCACCAAGGCCACCTGTCAGCCCCGCCAGTTTCTCCACCAAGGCCACCTGTGAGCCCTCCCGTCTCTCCACCTAGGCCTCCTGTTAGCCCTCCCGTTTCTCCACCAAGGCCACCTGTTAGCCCTCCCGTCTCTCCACCCAGGCCACCTGTTAGCCCTCCGGTTTATCCACCATCAGGAGGATACCAGCAGCCACCCCTAATTTCCCCACCTAGGCCTATTGTTAGCCCCCCAATATCTCCACCAAGGCCGCCTGTAAGCCCTCCCGTTTCTCCACCTAGGCCTCCTGTTAGCCCTCCCGTTTCTCCACCAAGGCCACCTGTGAGCCCTCCCGTCTCTCCACCCAGGCCTCCAGTTAGCCCTCCGGTTTATCCACCATCAGGAGGATACCAGCAGCCACCCCTAATTTCCCCACCTAGGCCTATTGTTAGCCCCCCAATATCTCCACCAAGGCCGCCTGTAAGCCCTCCCGTTTCTCCACCTAGGCCTCCAGTTAGCCCTCCCGTTTCTCCACCAAGGCCACCTGTGAGCCCTCCCGTCTCACCACCCAGGCCTCCAGTTAGCCCTCCCGTTTCTCCACCTAGACCTCCAGTTAGCCCACCAGTTGCTCCTCCAAGACCGACTCCCATCGGCGAATACGGTTGTCTTGGCGGCAGGTGTGGTGGTGGAGGTGGGTATGCAGTTGCACCACCGCAACCAGCTGCACCGATCAGCCCACCGGTCGTAGCAGCACCAGTTAGTCCACCGGTAGTAGCAGCCCCAGTTAGCCCACCGCAGGGTGCAGCAGTCCCACCAACACAGCCACAACGTCTCAGTCCACCACCACCACGTGAGTCACGTTTTGCAATGTCATGGCCGACTCATCTCAGAAAACCATTCATTTTAGCTGGTGGCTATGCTCAACCGGCTCCATACAAGCGTCGTTTCCATGCAAAGGCCAAAATGCTACGAAAAGTGCGAAAGATGCGACGGGCTGCGAAAGTCTAATCGCATGGCTAATTGTTCTCAGTCGTTTCAGTTTCGAGTTTAACAGTAATAAACTTCATCAGCAATGGGTTATTGCTTATTCCGAAAGCCTAAGAGTGCCTAGTCTCTTACACTTCACTCTTATTCCATTAATAACCTAGCTTACAAATTCTTCTAAACTCAAAACTGGGCATGCGGTCAGATGTGAAATCGTGAACTATAATGTGTGATAACCTTCAATGCCGAAGTGACCTCTGAACACTGCGCCGACATTCCCGTTCGGTCAAGTTACAATGACATGGCTGCTGGTGTCCACTAACGAAAGCTGGTCAAAAAAAGGGATTGAAAGTGAAAATGTAGCCGAACAGGTGACCATAATGTGGAAATGTATCTCTGGCTACCTCAGCAATAACGGTGCTGAAAAAGACTGCTGCAAAGTAGAAAGGGTGGACATAATAAAGTGACAAGTGGTTGTACCATTACCTGGGGTAGCGATGGGATCCTAGGTCAATTCTGACCTACTCCGTCTGAATAATCCACTCCTTGGGATTGGCAGTTCCAAATATGGCCTTTCCACACAGTCACGTCCCTCCCTCCCCTCACCTACCACTCGAAGCCGATAGTGCCAGCATTCTGTATTTCTTTGTACTGCGTATTAGTAAAATACTGAAACTTCGCCTCAAAATACCACCAAACTAGTATAAAACCTCTGTGTACCTAACCGGGGTTGAGCTGAACAAGATGTTTGAGTTGTCGCATAACTACAGCGGTTCTTTTTTTTTTCAAAATATGAACTATATCCGGTAGAAAACTCTGTGACGACAAATTAGCGTGAAGCTCGGTCGAGGATTCCTCGTCAAGGAGTCCTACTTGATTGATTGATTTGATTTGATTTATTCCATGTTGAACAACATGTGTAAGGTGAAAAGAAAAAAAGAGAAACCTTGGCTACACTTCATCAAGACAACATCAACACAACATATGAAATAAAAGTGAGGCTGAAAGCGCTGGAAAGTGCAAAAAAATCAGGATAAGCCATGCAGGTAGCGAGAAACGGAGTTTTTGAATTTTCTAAACGAGGTCGAAAGTTGAATAACTCTGCACATCCTTACGTACTCCATACCGGCTCGAAAAGTGAAAAATTTACGGCCCACCGACGACCGAGGTAGCTTAAAGCCACGAGTCAGGATTAGGGAACATAGGAAGTCCTTTATAGGGTGCGAAAGTGGGGTCTCCAAGCAGAGGGGGTGTGACGCTGTCGCGACAAGGAAGTGCGCGGCAAAGGCGCTAGGGCCTTGCAATTGTGTGCTGCCGTGCTGCGAGAATTTCCGGCAGCACAGATCGCCCACCGCGGGATGTGGTGCGTGGCTGGCCTAACGTGTGAGATCAGCTAGAGTTCCTTCAATAGATACCGACTTGTACAACAGCGAGGGAGCTCAAAAATGATATTATACATATATTTATATAGCCCAATAGCTGATGGAGTTCGCTGTGCCAATTAGTTGACATTATTGCCGTTGTACGCATTGGCCCCCATCCTATCCGGTTACAGTGGTTACTGTTGTGAAACTCAAGCCCAAGTGCAGCGTGCACTGTTTCCGACAGCTGGGCCTATTTATTCCTTCGGAGTAAGGTCTGCAAAACCAAAGAATGGCAGCGAACAAACGGTGTGACTTATTGAACGCAGTTCCTTCCAACATACAGGAAATAGCAGGATGTTTTCGATCAAAAGCATAGTAGGGAAGAGGTTGCCATTCATCAGCCTTTTGAGACGTGCCACGATTTTTGCTCCGAATCGTGGTGTGGTTCCTGATTCATGCCTGCCTCACGCTAGGCCATGTTCGGAATGATGTTTTTGTGTCCTCAGAAGAGATTGGCCCCAATTAGCAAATCGCTTACATTTTTGGTATGGAGTGATACTTGATCGCCGGATCAGTGTACGGTAGCAGTGTATGTATCTTCAGCCTTCGTCTGTAGAGTGCAGATGAATGATGTATTCGCCACAGATCATATTATTTTTGATTAATACCTCCTCTCTTTGAAGGTGGTCGATTAGTGATCGAGTGTGACCCTCTAGGGACACTCAGTCATCAGAAGCACTGGTTGAACGGTAGTAAATGCCCTACTGAAGTTGCGACCCGCAGCGTGGCATTTAGATTCCTTATATTCATACCCCCTCAGATACTTTCGGCATTTGTGCCGCTATCACTGACAAAGAGCTGTAAGTCATCAGCGTTCGCATGGACCGTTATTGTTTAAAAGTACTACACTGTTCCCTGCGCAATGTCATTTTTGGCTCCAGCCACCGTCGGGATAGGAAGAGCCTAGGCTGTTTATTCGCTCACTCGAATGGTGTATGAGGAAGCAGTCCTTCTTTTGAAATACACGTGTTTTGAAGGAGCCTTTATTAGAATTTATGAAAGTGAAAACTATCCGAGCTGCCTCCTGCTCACGTCTTGCGATGGAACACCAGAGTATCTTTCACGATATGGTGAACACTTGGTTGCCGAATTCCAGAAACTCGAGAAAAATGCACAAATTCTTTTGGCCTGTTCCTCTGAATGACGAGTGTCTTCTGGAGCTGTTTGGAAACAGTCTCTGGGGTAATGCTCGGGAACTGACGCAGCTTCTCCAAAGTTTATTGCCAGTCTCATCCTCACTGCGAGCGGATTTTGCGACCACTTTGGATGTCTCCTCAAAGCTGATGTCATTGAACGCTGTGCTCTGCCTCTCCGCTAAATCAGCTATAGCTCGCTTCTCAAAGTCGAACAGTAGGGGGAGGGGAAAGCCAACCGATAAGTGTGTAAAACCTTCGCTGCGAAAGGTGCACTGCTCCGCACTTTCAGGATTCCTGACTCTCTTCAAAAGGGTATATATCCGCTTTTTCGACCTCCAATTTTTCTTTGAATCTTCCTTCAACGGAGAGATTATCTTCGTTTTAAAGGATCTCACTACATTATTCGCCATGCATGGATTACTTTTCATGAAACATGCCTAAGTTGTTTCGTTTTTACTGTTCTCACTGAGGAGGACGGTCTTCTGGAACACTCCTATTCACATGGCAAATGACCCATTGACCTGCCATTCAGTTTCGCATGAGTCTTATCATTCAAGATTTATCTCTCTCTTTGTCGTGTTCGTCGGTACCGGCAAGCACCGCTAATGCGTCGTCATCGCTGTTATCATTGGAAGTCGCCGATAAATTGCATTAACATTAAAAACACGAGAAAGCGATACGCAACATAATCATCTGATAGCGACCGATAAGGTGGCATGAGAGCAGATCGGCCTTGTCGTCTGGCTCGTTCATGGTGCATACCAAGGGTAAAATATGTATGTGCTACGTTTCTTTTTTCCCCTGTTATCACGAACTTCCTAATTTCCCTCGTCACTCCGAATTTTTTTGTCCAATTCTTCTATTTTTTAGATTGA